TCCTTCAACAGCCCTCTTCCTGTAGTAACCCTTAATCTTTTTCACAAGCTGTAAGGGGACCAAGACCAAGAAAGGTTTTCCAATGAGTGGATGTAGGAAGCTGATAAGAGAGGTATTCTTTTGGGCTTGGTAGCATAGTAAGTTACATTACACCAAAACATATATCTCTTTGCAGTCTGATTTTTCTCCTGTCAGCCATTGACATTTTGAAAGATTTACTGATTAGCTTAAAAACTACCGAACTTCTAAGATTAGTGATGTGGATGTGGTAGCCTAATTACAAGTGTGAAACTGCAGCTAGTGCTTTTCCTTCTACTTAAGGGAGTGTTACGACTCATACCTAGGGAAGAAACGGTTTTACATACTGTTGCTAACATCAAAAAAGACGTGTGCACATTATGTTTCCAAACAACTTCTCTCAAGTTCAATAACTGGTATTACTGAGTGCCTCAGGAAAGCCCTTAATAAATTGTCTAGTCTACCTCTCTAATCACAGAGGTGATTTGGTATATTTTCCAAAAGCAGTAAAGAGGAATGAGAAAAAACTGTACCCAGACCTATAATCGTTTCTTTAACCCTCTTGTGAGAGTTGTTTTGACCTTATAAAGTAAGTGTTGTTATTTCCCGTTATACAGATGAGCAAACTGAGTCTTAGAGAATTACACAGCCAGAAAATGAAAAAAATCACAGATCTGAGATTCTGACCTAGGTATAGCTCATCTCACACTCATGTTTTTAATTCTATATCATGTTGCCTTGTGAGGGAAAAGTGCTGTATGTGGAAAAACATACAGCATATTGTGTTTTCTTCTGAGCTTATACTGCCCTTTATGTGAGTTTATAATGCCCTTTGTCTCAACACAATCACATAGCTAAGTTCAAAGTATTTGTAGCCTACGAAGATTTTCATTAGTTTGAATTATATTTTCAAAGAATAATTTGGTCTCATCTTCCATGAAGCTTCATTGTGAAATTGTGGGGTGGAAAATCCTCATTTTACACTGGGGCAATATGAGTTGAAGGCATTTCCTCAGTGTCACCAAAAAAAAGTTAAGTCAGAGATTTGACTTCATACCTCACGATTCCCTTCCAGTATATTTGCTCATACTGCTTAGTATTAAAAAGCATAACGCTTATGTCAATTTTTCTGATTCACTATTACATCTTAGTTTCTCATTTATTTTCTAACTTTCTAAACTGAATTAATGTTTACCTAATACGAAGTAACCAGTGAACTGGCTGCAGCATTTACCCTGACAGGATTTCAGGCTCATGGTGAAGGACTGGGAAAATTCTGCCTCAATTGTTACTGACATAGGAGGCTTTACAGTTATTTGTTAGAAGATGGCCCAGGAGGAAAAGAAGAAATGGATTTGTGTGATCCTGTGTTGCTAAATACAGCACACTGCTGCTGTCTTTTCTTACTGCTTCCTCTAAGACTCATCATTTCAATGCACTAATCTTTTAAACAGCCATTCAGCGGGAATTGGGCTAGAACTTTGCTAAGGGGTCACATTTACCAACCTGACAGTTATACATTTACAAAAGAAATAGCATGAATTTATTCAGCATCAAAACCTCTTCATCTTTTACCACCCAACTGCATTTCACACTGTATTACCATCAGTGCACTATAATAGCTGTATAAATTCCATCCAGATTCTTCATTTAATTAACTGGCATTCTTTGAACAAAAATAAAAGTGCTGTTTTTATAAAGGAATAAAAGCTGCATGAAGTGAGTGTGAAGGAGACAAATCATCAAATTAGTTATTCTTCATTGCGGCTATGGAGAATTCCCTGCCCGGCCTGTTTCTCTTCAGTGATAATATATTTTTTTCTAGCTTGATTGAATGGAAAGTGGGGAATGGTGTAGCAGCCTCGAATGGGTTTGAGTATATTGTAATGGTCACATCCTAAGCTCATGCAGGGCTGGGCACTGACGATATTGTCATCTGCAACTGATTTTTTTTAGCGTTTTCTGTCGTTGGAGAGAGAGTATGGCACAGTAGCCAAGAGCATGAACTTTGTAACTAGACTGTCTGGATTCAAATCCTAGCTTGGCCACTTATTAGGTTTGTGATTCTGAACAAGTTACTTAACCTTTCTATGCTTCAGTTTCCTACCTATTAAATGAGGATAATAATAGACATACCTCACACAGCAGTGTGCGGATTAACTGAGCTGATCCGTGTAAAACACTTAGAGTAGTACCAGCATATGCAAGCCATTACTTCTTGTATGCACAGCAACAGTCTGCTGTGAAGTTGATCCAGCTGTGACTCTGGTGACCATCGATCACCTGGGCTGAACTGACCCACGTGACTGATGTGGCTAAGTAGATGTCCTTTTATTTCCTCAGATATTTCTTCCTAAAAGTATCCTTTTATAATTTTATTTATTTATTTATTTTTTCCCCCAAAGGCCCAGTAGGTAGTTGTATGTCATAGCTGCACATCCTTCTAGTTGCTGCAGTGGGACGCGGCCTCAGCATGGCCGGAGAAGCGGTGTGTCGGTGCACGCCCGGGATCCCAACCCCGGGCCGCCAGCAGCGGAGCGCGCGCACCCAACCGCTGAGCCACGGGGCCGGCCCAAAATAGTATCCTTTTATTATAAGACAGTTACTTTAAAAAATAAGGAAGTAAAGTTCTTTGAATTTAGGGCACATTCTCCATCCTGCACCTGCGGCCAGATTTCACTTTCTAAAGCACTGTGTTCTCATATTAATTTCTGCTCAGAAGGCTTCAAGACTTCCCAGGGTACGAGGTCCTTGGCTCTCATGACATTTCTACTAGAGCTTGGCCCTTTTGCTCCCTCTCCCCAACCTTTTTTATCCATTGCTCCCCTATGGGAAGCATCTACTCCGGTCAAAATTGATCTAGTGCCATTTCTCGAATGTACCACATTCCTTCTTGTCTCTCTTCATTTGTTGACATTCTTCTTTTTTCTAACATGCCCTACTCTCTTCCCCCACTTATCTAAGTCATACCTAGTGTTCTAAGCTGAGCCGGAAAAGGGAAAGTATCTTTACCCCCCGCTTTGTATTTTTTATCCCATAACGTGATTGTCTGAATGCAGTAGCTGCTAAGTAAATGTTGTTAATGATGATGAACTATTCTGTTAGCTCTACTTTCAAACTATATTTAGAATCTAACCACTTCACACCATCACCACCACTGTCACCCTTGTCCAAGCCACAATTACTTTATGGTTGTCCTCTTCCTCTGCTCCCTGCTCCCCCCACTTGCCGAGCCCCTGCAGTCTGCTATCAACGTGGCAGCAAAAGTAATCCACTTCAACTTTAAGTCAGATCACATCACTTCTCTGCTCAAAACACTCCAATCACTCCCTATCTCATCCTGAGTAAAACCAAAGTCCTTACAGTGGCCTGCAACACCCCTTAAGATCTGCCTGTTCACCCGACCCCATCCCTGCCCTCGCTCCTATTACCACTTTGCCCTCACGGCCTTCTACTCCCTTCCTGTCCCCTACTACTCTTTGCTCTGTCACCCTGGCTTCCTTGCTGTTCTCTGAAGACACAAGGCACAATCCTGTCTCTGGGCCTTCGCACGAACTGTTCCGTCTGCCCAGAAAGCTCCTTCTTGGGACATCTTCCTGCTGCATCCTTCCTGCAGGTCTCTGATGAAATGTCTTCTCAATGAGATCCTCACTGACAGTCCCTAATTTACTGTCTCTCTCCACAAACTGGAGTGTAAATTCTGGGGGAGAAGAGGGAGGATTTTTTGTCTATTGTGGTAGGTTCTCTGTCCTCAGTACCTGAAACAGAACCTTACACATAATGAGTACTTAATAGTTATTGGATGTATGAATGAAAAATTCACCCCTAAAAATATGTGCATATTGCCAACCCTCCCTTCACTTCAAATGTATTTAGGCTCAAACAAATGCAAGTGTTCTATAGTAGCTCTGAGAAAATTGAAATAGCCATAGCTGAATATTAGCCATGGCAATTGGAGCAGAAAGTTCCATTGCAGAGAAAAGAGTTTTCTGCATCAAGTCAAGAAAAAGAAATGGTTTACCGTATAATAACTGCCATGTTAAATTATATTGTGTCCTGGGGGACTGTCACTGACCCAGCACCAAGGCACATTTTGAGAGAGCAAGTGGTATTGGCCACTGCATCCTCTCCCTAAGGTGGAGAGTGTAGCTAGTGTATAGGAGGTTTTGTCATCTAGTGCAGAGCGAAATGGTGAAAAGAGCATTAATGTTGGAGTCAGGCGGACCTGAGTTTAAATTCTTGGCAATACCATGTGTACTTGGACAGGTTATGTAACCTGTCCTAAACTCTGTTTGATTATGTATAAGATGGTTTTTAATAATGCTTTTCTTTCAGTGTTGTTCTAAAGATTAAATGAGAGAAGACACGTGAATCACCTGAGACATAACGCCATGTTTAATAAATGTCTTGTGAGCATGACATCCTATGGAAGTAGCTATATATTTTGCTACTGAATTCTACCTTTTGCCTTAAATCAAAAGGGAGAAGTAGCAGTTAGACTGATGTCTAGGAGTAAGCATTGGCTCCTGGGGCTTGGACCACAGAGAAGCCCCACAACCCTATAAATCTCTCAGCAGTATCTGATGAAGGCACAAGAGCATTCCTAGAACATGAGCCCAACCACCTACTTGCGTTTTGAGGAAGTCTACTCTTTGTATCTTTTGAACCAATTCTTATTTTTCTATTTTCCATTTTCAATTCTCTTCTACTTCCCTTGTTTTCAAAATGTCATGCTGAGTATGTGAAGTTGGAGATTCCATGCTGAAAATTATCCAAGAAATCAACAAAGGGAAAGTAAGATCAGGCAGCTACTCTACATAATAAAATAACATGAATATTAATGTTCAAATTGAGATGTGAGGAACATACGTACATTGATTAAGTTTTGGCATTAAAACTTCCAGAGGGAGGAAAATATTTGTTTAAACCACTGATCTGTTTTTTACATTTTTTATTAATGACATTAACTTTGAAATCTTTAGGAAGCCAAAGCTGTAGTTGAAGAAACGAGAGCCCTGCGAAGTCGGATTCATCTTGCGGAAGCTGCGCAGAGGCAGGCGCACAGAGTGGAGATGGACTATGAAGAAGTGATCCGTCTGTTGGAGGCCGAGATTACAGAGCTGAAGGCTCAGCTGGCTGAGTCTTCTGACCAAAATAAAGTAAGCAAAACAGTCCTCTCTTCTAGTTACCATGGTTTCCTTGCCGATGTCATGTATCCTGTTTTCATTTTCTTTTCATCTGCACTTCTAAACTAGGTCAGTGTTTGTCTTCTATTGTTCAATTATAGGATGATGAGTCCTGATGGGGGCGATGTGAAGGTTGCAAGCCTCCCTTTATCCAGATAGCTTTGGAATGGAAAAGCATATGCCCCAAATTTATTTGGGTCATTGGTCAACATTGCACAGCTCAGCTGTTAAGTCCTAGAACTATTTAACATTTAATTGATTACATTGGTTTTCTCCTTTTGTTTCTAAACTTGCTAATTTGTCTTGTGGGGATGGCAGGAAAGTCTAGGGATGAGTTTTACTCTTTCATTAGAGCACTCAAGGAAGTGTGAAAGTTAAATAATTTTTTGCCCAAGGCCCAAGATAATTAACGGGAAGAAACTGAGTTAGAATTTAGTTTTAATGGAAGATGTACTAAATTAGGCTCCAATTTCAACAGCAAAATACTGAATGCTTTTCAGAAGGCAATGTAAACTTTTTATATGTGCATTTTTTTATTGTGTGATTTTTTTTTACATAACACATACTGTATTCATTGAATAGACTTCAAAAAACTACAATAGACATGTACATTTTTACTTCACTGAGGTAGAAAATTAAATAAATTGAAATAGATATTTTATAACTTGATAGAGTTCATTTCTAAACTCAATGGGTGGTTATATCTCTGATCCAGTCAGTTTTCAAGAGAACATAAAGCGAATTTGAATAATTTATGACCATTTATTCAAGCATAAAAGAGTTAAGTACTTTAAATATACCAAGTGGAAATGAAACTAGTTTTGGAAAAGTAAAATACACAAGAAAATCTGAAATTTTTTTGGTTAGCTCTTAAGAGTCACTACTGTACTTCTCACAACTGTCCATTTAAACCAATTCCAAAAGAAGACTGATTTCCTGTTACCCTTTGATAATACAACAAGGCCAAGGGGAAAACATATTACTTAGAAAGCGGCAATGCTTAGAAATATTGCATACATTTATTATTTTTGACCCATTATTTACATTTTTAAAACAGAGATACATGATTATTTCATGTAACTTTAACATGATTCTGAACATATTTTGGGAATTATCAAAGTATTAAAAGTGCTTTTTCATAATAACTATAGTTATTTTTGGAGGGAAAATGAGCAGTCTTTAAAAATACTTTTCTTTTTAAATAATATTATGTTCAAGGAGTTGACATGAATTTATCCCATATTTTTTTTTTTTTGGAGTAGGCTGTTTGCAAGTCTCTCTTCCAGCTCCTAGCTGAGAAATATTTTTGTCCTAAGTTGTCTGATAATATGCTTAATTCAGTTCTTCTCTTTTTTAGCCTAATGGGGGTCTCATGCCATTTCTCTTAATAAGACCCTAAGCTAAGCCATTAACCTGTCTCTGTAAACAGCGTTTTATTTTTTTTCAAAGAAGAGATATTAGACATGGGAACCTCAACATTTTGCAACCCAAAACCAGTGGAGAAAGAGAAGGAAACATTTTTTTTAATTGTTTGAGATTGCTTGAAGAGACACTGACCAAGATGTTACAGGATTGAGATTCAAATATTCATTTTTAAGACACAGATTCTTTTTGTAACAATGCTGTTATTTTTCATTATAATTTTTCTCTTATATTATCTATTTATTTACTTATTTACCTTTTTAATTTTTTTATTTATGTCCAGCTTAAGAAATAAAACATTACTAATACCTTTGAAGACCAAATGTCCCTCTCCAATTGCATCCCCCCTGGCCCTCAGAGTTAACTACTTTCCTGGATGTAATGTTAACCATTTTCTTGATAATTTTACTACCTGTATGTATCCCTTAACAGTATGTTGTTTAGTTTAGCCTGTTTATCAACTTTATATAGTATACTCTATGTATTATTCTGACTTGCTGTTTTCCCTCAACATTTTGTTATTGCAGTTCATCTACTTCAAGTTTATAGCTAATTCATGTCTTTTCATTGCTTTTTTGTACTCCTTTGAATGGATATACTACAGTATATTCATCCATTCTGTATTTGATGGACAGTCTAATTGTTTCTGTTTTCTTCTGTTATCAATGATGTTGTTAAAAACATTTTTGTATGTATATTCTGCTCCACATGCGTAGCAATTTCTCTTGGGTTCCTATCTTGGAGTGGAATTGCCAGGTTGAATGATGATTATATGATCAACTTTAGTAGGTAATGCCTAATTATTTGAAAGTGCTTGAACCAATTTTTACTCCCACCAGTAGTGAATAAGAATTACAATTACCCCACATCCTTGCTGAGCCTTTGTTTTCTTTTACTTTTAATTGTTATCAATCTAGTAGGTGTCATAAGTATATCTCATTGTGGTTTAATTTGAATTTCCCTGATTACTAATGACTTTGAGCCACTGATGTGCTGGGGCCAGCTGTACTGGCTCACAGAGTTGATTGTGTGCATCTCTTCTCAACTCCATGTTCAATGACATCATGTTGGTAGCTTGAAATTAGCCGTGGCGGGGTTATTTATACCCCACAACATTATACTCTAAGGCTTTGCCCCCTGCCCCAGATAGCCAGTTGAACATATGTTTATGTATTTGTTAGCCATTTGTGTGTCTCTGTGAAATCTCTCTTCCTGATTTTAACCATTTTTCCATTGGGTTATTTGCCTTCTTCTTATTGATTTGTAGTGATTATTTGTGTGTTCTGGTTACTAATCCTATATTAAGTTATATATTATTAAAATCTTCTCTGGAATTTATGGCTTGCCTTTTCACCCAATGGTGAATTGGGTGAAAGATATTCTTTAATTTTCATGTAGTCAGACTTAATCAATCTTTTCCCTCATGTGTCTTTTTAGAAGTTCTTCCATTCCCAAAGATATAAAGATATTCTTTTATATTTGCCTCTAAAAGTTTTAAAGTTTTGATCCTTCTGTCATTGGTTTTGTGGCGTTGTATGGGGTGGGGATCCATTATATTCTTTCTTTCTTTATTCTAAATGAATAACCACTTGTCCCAGCACCATTTATTCAAAAGTGTCTTCTTTCCTAATTGATCTACAAAATCAGCTCTGTCATATATCAAGATTTCGTGTGTGTTGATCTTTTTGAGGGCTTTCTATTCTCTTTCATTGGTCTATTTGTATATTCCTGTGCAAATAGCACACTGTGTGGATTACTATATCTTTTACAGTAAGTCTTAATTTCTGATCACCCTACCTAGTTCTTTTTCTTTAAAAGTGCATGGGCTACATGACCCTTTGATCTTTTATATGTATTTTGGTCTCAGCTTGTAAGTACCACCAAAAGAAAAAAAACTACTGGAATTTTACTAAAAATTCATTAAATATACAGGTTAATTTGGGAAGAATTTTGCATATTTATGATTGAGTCTTTATTTATAAACACGGCTGAGGCACAGAAAGATTAATTGCATTATGGCCAGAGAATCCAATCTATAGGATCACAACTCCAAAATTTGTTGATGGTTGCTTCATGGCTTACTATATGGCCAGTGTTTACAAATGTTCAAAGTGAGCTTAAAAAGAATTCTGCACTTGTTTGATAAATTGTTTTGTATAGTCCACTAGATCAGGGTCATGAATTATAGGGTCCAGTTCTTCTCTAGTCCTGTTAATTTCTGTATCAGGCAAGTGTGTTAAAATCTCCCCTGTAGTTTCTTTTTTTTAATTTTGTTTGCATATTTTGAAGTAATGTTTTTAGCTGCATACAAGTTTGGAATTGTGTTATCATCCATTTTGAAAATGTTGTGATTCCTCAATCTAGCAATATTCTTTTCTCCTTAATGTTTTTTTTGATTGATATTGAAATAGTTACACCAGCTTTGTTTTGGTATTTACCTATGTATTTTTTCCATGATTTTACTTTCAACTTTTCAGTGTCCTTATATTTTAATTGCATATATGGTAAACAACATGTAGCTGGATTTTTTTCCTCATTTTACTAATTTTTGACCTTTAATTGGAAAGATCGCTCCATTTACACTCTTATTCGCTAATGCACTTGGCTTCATTTCCACCCTCTTATATTGTGCATTTTCTTTGTCCCATGTTTTTTAGTTGTTTTTTGTTTTTTGCTTCTTTTATTTTGGATTGGTTCAGATTTCTCTTGTGTCCCCCAACTCACATTTCATTTCTCTGCTTCTGCTGGTTTAGAAGTTGTACACTCTGTTTCTAATTTTTAATGATTATCTTAGAAATTTTAACATTCTATTTTAAGTAGAAACTAATCATTAGCTTTCCTCTTCCTTGAAGTATTATAAGCACTTTAGAACATAAATCCAATCATCTCTTCCTACTTGATTTCTATTTTTGTCTGTATTTTAATTCTTTCTTGGCTTTTAACACCATAAATTAGACACTATTATAGTTTATTTTGTGCAGTCAACCTTTGTTTAGATAGACCCCCATGCTTACATTTTCTTTATTCAACATTCTTTCTCACATCTCAGACCTTCTTGCTAGAATTATTTCCTTTCTTCCTGAAGTACATCTTTTAAAAATTTGTTTAGTGAGGATATATTGGTAATAAACCCTCTCCCTTTTTGTTTGTCTGAAACATCTTTATTGAACTCCTGTTCTTGAAACAATTTTTGCTATGTTTAGAATGTTAAGTTGGCATTTAATTTCTCAGTTTTTATTTCATGGTTGTGATACCAGCTGTCAGTCTGTAATTTGTTTGCAATTCTGCTGTTTCTTTCTAGATCATTTTAAGATCTCTTTATTTATTTATTTATTCAGCTTAACTATGATGAGTCAAGTCTTGACATATTTTTATTTATGTTGCTTGAGACTCATTGAGCTTTCTGATCTGAGAAACAATGTCTTTTGCCATTTCTGGAAAACCCTAAGCTGTTATCCTGAGCTATTTCTCTTTCATTCTTTCTGGTCTTTCTTGTGTAATTTAGATTGGATATATGCTATATCTTCTGGCTATTTTCTCCTTACCTCCTCTCCTCCTTTTATATTTTCCATTTTATCTTTCTGCTCCATTACGAGGAGTTTCTTTTCCTCTGTCTTCCAGTTCAACATTCTCTTTTCAACTGTATCTAATTTGTCAAACCCATACATTGAGTTTCTAATTTAATTATGATTACATTTTTTTAAGATTGATGTTTTTTGTCATCTGGATTTTGATAGTTTCTCATCCCTTTATTATGTTTTAAATTTCTTCTTAATTGTTAAAACATATTAAACATCAGTCTCTATCTGATCACTCCAGTGTCTGCTGTCTTTATATGTGACAATCCTTTGAGATCTGAGTTTAGAAAAAATCCATCCAGAGAAGTTTTGTGTTTGCTTCTACCAGCCTAGGACAATTTAAACTAAATTTTCAGCTTATGAATTGACAAGTCACAGAGGTAACATAAATTCTGACTTCAAATCTGCGTGAATGGGGGCTTGTGGTTAGCAATTATTCAAGGGAGACTTTTTTTACCTACTCACCAGAGCCAAAATCAAAACCCTGTTCACCTCTGTGAGGTTTGTTTCTTGCTAGTTCACCCATTAAAGTTCTCCCATTTGCTGTTTGTGCCTGATGAAACCCCAAACTGTAGGCCACCAGAGATCAACATATACCCTCAGAGCAAATTATGCTGCTATGCACTCTTACTCCAGTGGGTTCACGCAGCATCACTATTGCTTGTCTTCGTGGGATTCTTTTACTCTCTGCTAGCTTGGCTTTTACATTGGATTATATTACATTAAATATATATGTATATCTTCAGCATTTTTGGTTGTGCCACAGTGGTAGGTATTTCTGTCAACATCTGGTATGCCATGTTGCCCAAAAAACACCATAAATGAATTTAAATGTATTTTACTATAAGAATCAATAAGGTTATATGCAGCTTGTCTCATAAAATTTGCAGCATCCCTGTTCAGTTTAACTTTTAAGTATGCAATTAGTTAGGTGCTCCCCAAAATCAGAAGATATGTACAGTAAGAGAGAATATAAATGATATGGTAATGTTGCATATTAGTTAATAAAAACTGAAAATAGGAGCCACTGATATAAAATTAAAGAAATGTGTAAGACACTCCTTTTGATATCTCTGTACAGGAAAGTGTTCAGGAGTTAAGAAAGAGAATCACAGTACTTGACTGCCAATTGCGAAAATCGGAAATGGCTCGAAAAACTTTTGAGGCATCCACTGAAAAGCTTCTTCGTTTTGTAGAGGTAAATTTTCCTGTTATATTACTTTATACCCATTTTTAAGAAATGTATAGGTGATGACATATAGATAATATCACGGTGTTTGGTGGCTATAGAAACATTCTCTGGGCTCAAAACAGCAATGGTGACTTATAGTCAGATTTAAAATTGCCTAGATAACGAAAAGACCAACTAACATACAGATTAAGAAAATAATTGAGACAAGTAACATGTTCCCAAATATATACTGTTTTAATGAGCACTTTCCTAAAACTGTTGATACTATGTAAACATGATTTGATATTTACCCTATAAAGAAATGTTTCTATAGCTATTATATTTCTGAGTAGAATTGCATGTTAATGTAATTGATTTTTTCTCCACCTAACAGAAACACCTTTTTAATCATTTGGGGGGGTATAAATATTAATTAAGCAAGAAAAGACATTTTGAAAAACTATCAACCTAACGTATCTCCTTCACTAACTGGGGGGTGTTATAAATATTAATTAAGCAAGAAAAGACATTTTGAAAAACTATCAACCTTACATATCTCCTTCACTGTCATGTTTGTCGCTAGGCTGTTCAAGAAGTATTTTCTGACAATTCTGCTTTATCAAATTTAAGGTAAGACTATTTAAGTGCTTTCTTCAGAGTATGGCCAGTGATTATATTTTTCATCTGGTAATTGTGACTAAAGTATTAAAATCTCTTAAATAGTCTTAAGATGCTACATAACTCCTATTGAATGTCATTCTTTAATGTCTTGTGGAAATAGATACAAGGACAAGTTGTTTTTTGGTCCCATCTCTATAAAAGAAATTCCTGGCGGTATTTAACCAGTCATTGTAACCTGGTACTCTAAAATAGAGGTAGGAATCACCTACCTTGTCTTTGTCAGGAATTCTGTAAAGATGAGATTAACTGGAAGTTCTTTAAGCATCCTGTGTGTGAATAAAAATTACTATACTAGTCAGAGGTTCATTGCTAAAGGTTGGTCTCAACCCAGCATATCAGTTGTTATGGCAAGGAGAATTTTGCAAAACATGCTCATCCAATCAATTTCTTTTATTTTCAATATTCAGTAGACAAATAAAAGAAATACATTTGGAGAATACACCTTGATTTTGTTTTTATTCACAGTTTGTTTCTGATTTAAAATTTCTTACTAGGAGCTACAAACCTACTAACAAGATTTATTTATTTCAAACTGCAAGCTTATGGTCATCTTGGTACATGATGAAAGACATATACAAAAGAAAGATTCCTGTTTATAGATTTTCAAAGCAATTTTTTTCCTCGTCTTTTAATAGCTGCCACTAGCAATGTATTTTTACTTCTAGCAAGGTATGCTTGCAGAAAAAATAGCAAATTTCTACCCCTTTCTATGAAAACGGCAGTTTAATAAATGAAGATGATACATTGTATTCTTATATTTTAGGTTCCCACATAGCATTTTTTTTGAATTTAGAAGAATATCTATAGTAGCATACTTTTAAACTCATTTTAACGTAATACTTTATTTCCTCTAATGAAGAACTCTGACATTTTTGTTATCCATTCTGCTTATGATGTAAGATAATTATGTGAATTTTCCATGGTGATTATTTTCAGTGAGGATGTTACAATACTCAGCAGTCGGATTCCCCTTGTATGGGCTAGGCGTGTCCCCCACCCCCACCCCCTCAGGTCTCATTGTGACCTTGAATAATAATTGAAAAGTTTTGGTATTAAAAATGAAGGTTAAAAATGACAATTTAAAAGCCGTAGCCTGTCCTTGCCTTAAACTGGTCTATGGAAAAAGGCAACTTTAAAAAGCAAAAACAAGCAACTTTTCACCACGTCTTGGAAAGTTAAACACAAGTAAAATTTGGATTAGTCTTTTTCATATACTATATCTTCTATAATGGATATTGGCCTTGGTCATTCAACACAGATTAAAGGCTCTGTATTTGAATTTGAGAATTGATGCTTTAGTTTCTCCTTGTGAATTAATACCATCTTGCTTAAGAAGATGGTTGTAAGTAATGATGGTGTTGTCATCAGTTTAAAATTATTTCTTTTCAAGTAAAAGTTTTAGCATGATAGTTTTTTGCAGTAAAACTTTGCATTTTTAATTATATCAGAATGCGTTCACTTCCGATGATATTTGCATTTTTAAAAAGTGATATAAATGCTCTAGGCTGTTTTAGATTTAAGGACAACAAATGGAAGAACTTAAGAGAGAATTTCAAGAGCAAATATACATATGGAATTTATATTTCACGTGACCTGAAGGAACAGTAAATGTTTAGTAAATTTATGTGGAAGTGCTTAATTTGAATTTTTATAAAACTGAAAGGCTGCATTATGTTAGCATAACACAAGCACTCGCAAAATAAGCCCAACAAATGTAGGAGCTGGGCCATCCTTCTGTTCCTTCCTCCTTATATATGAAGTCAACCTAATTTTTAAAATATGCCGATTTATTATATAAAGAAGAATTGAAAACAGAAATATTGTTTTGTGTGAATTACTTCGTTTATGGCTATAAGAATACAATATTCCGAAACAGAAATATTTTTGTACAGCTTTGTAACTAATAGGAATTCAGATTTAGCAAAGATAGTTGTTATTTATTGTGTAATAAGTTCACTTTATTTTATTGCTCTCATAGTGAAAGAAGAGCTCTGTTAGCTTCTCAGACTTCCCTCATGCCGCTGGGAAGGAATGGACGTAACATCCCAGCAACCCTGGCACTTGAATCGAAGGAACTTATTAAATCTGTTCGTGCCATCCTTGATATGGATTGTAAGTTTTCGGCATTTTTTCACTTTAAAAAAAAAAATTCATTTAACAAAACAAAAGAAGAAATTTCAAGTTTGACAGTTTAATTTTGTTAAATGTTTAGTTTACTTACAGGAAAATTGATAGCTAATTGATAAAAATGTTAATGTAGGGGGAGAATATTTGCTTTATTTAATGTACTCAAAATGGCTTCCAACAGAAGATAGCTGGTTAGGACATGTCTTTACCTCTACTTCCATCCAAAGTCTCTTTGAAATGGAAGAATAAATATAAAAATAAATCCAGGGGCCGGCCCGGTAGCACAGCGCTTAGGTGCTCGCGCTCCACTTTGGTGGCCCGGGGTTCGCAGGTTCAGATCCTGGGCACGCACTGGCGCACCACTTGTCAAGCCATGCTGTGGCGGCGTCCTATATAAAGTAGAGGAAGATGGGCACAGATGTTAGCCCAGGGCCGATCTTCCTCAGCAAAAAAAGAGGAGGATTGGCATCTGATGTTAGCTCCGGGCTAATCTTCCTCAAAAAAAATAAATAAATGAATCCACAACAGCACTGGAAACCTGGAAGGGTGGAATCAACATTGAGAAAGTTTTGAATAATATACAACACATGGAATAAGATTGAAGATACAGCCCAGCTGAACGAAGACCCCAAAACACAATAAAGATAAACAACAAGACTGCTGAAACAGTGAGTTAGGTAGAACCGTGGAAAAATCCCCAGGATTACAAGCAGAGAAAACTAGGAACAGACCCTGGGGCGGTCAACAGGGTAATTAATTAAAGGGCTGTGGAATAGCTGAACCAGTTCCCTACTCATCAGAGCTGCTGGCTCAGACATGTACTCCTAAGCTAGGGCCAAGAGATGACCTCTCTTAAGGAACTGAATGATCTGGGACAGGATACCCCAGACTCAGCACTGGGCTGGAAAGAGAAGCAGGGCAATGCTCTAAGTAACTTCCAGCATCCCAGCAGACAGGGAGATCCTTGGGGAAGGCTTAAATGATTGGACATTTCCATCCTTCTCTCATGCTGTCTCCCAGGCACTTTTGCCCCTTCGTGGGTTTGGACTCGCTTTTTATTTGTCTGATTTTCTGTCTCTTCCCTTGATGTCAGTCTGTCTGCTGGCTGTCTTTGTGCTGGCCTCTAGCGTTCCACTATCCCTCTAGTTTGCCCCTCTTAATCTTCCCTATACTGGAGACCAGATATCAAATATATATAAATATAAATATAGATAAGATTCTATGTTAACTATCAATATAATAAGTTTTGAGTAAAGTCCCAGGTGGTAAATGGCTTGCCTTTGTATAGGGGCATATTCAAAGACCCTTTGGGGTAACTTTTGACTCAGAACTACGTTATAGAGGATTGGACACCATGCATCCAATAGTATCTGCTCAATTTCTGCAGTGAGTACTTTTACTCAATTTTGTATAACCTATTAACATTTTTAAAAGTCAAATTATATTTTAAAAATCCTGTAAGAACTCTTTATGTAAAGGAATTCTGTGGCTTTTAGGAGGTATGAAAATAATCACTCCTCATATATTATGTGTAAGCTCAGACTTTTATGTATCAGATGTTTTTAAGTTAGGGTAGAGGGAAACACCTGTACAGACATAGCCCAGTGGACATTGCCGTCGTTAATTTTAATTGCCTTGCTAACATTAACCTTTATATTTGTCAAACATGATTATTCAAAGAAAATATTTGAAATTCAGCAGAACTTCTTTGGAAGAAAAGTGAAAAATTCCATCTGCACTTTTTATCCATTGCAAGATTATACCTACTCTGCTGTTTATAACTAGCAAATAGTTCCTATGTTGTCTTTTTATTTAGAAATATAATTGCTAATGTTGGCATGTTTTCCCAGTACTTTTATATGACATATCTTTTTAAGTTTGATAATTCGGATAGACTCAGCTCATTTTTCTTTCTCTTTAAAATGGCAGTAGCCATTTCTTTATGTAATGAAAAGCAGAAAATTACTGCCATGAGGTGGATAATTCAGCTGCAGCCTCCACCTCATTTCCTTTGCCATGGCTCTCTGGTTATTTCAAGTGACAATTTGAAACTTTCACTTGGGTAATTGCCTCCACTTTCTTCTTACTGTAAGTACACTCTAGCATGTTATACTGTAGGATTTCCTTGGAAATGAGAATAAGATTTCTTGGGTCTTACAGCTTAAAACTAGCCTCTGAGGAATATCTAGAAGACAATTCTGAACCTTTTTTGGATCATGGACTCCATTGAAATCTCCCTTTTCCCAGAAATGTGCAATCATACACATTTTGCATCCATTTATCAGAGTGCTTCTGAATCCCAACTTAAAAACCCCTGATGTAGAATCACAAGGAACATGAATACTTTCTACAGCATTGCGAACATTGCCATCCAGCCCTCAGCAGAACACCTCTAGCAGTGGAGAAGGAAGTGAATCAGAGGGGCAACCTGGAGTAGCAGTTTGAATCCATGTAGACAGGGCTTCTCAGAATCTCTCTTGTTCCCTACAGGTGCCCCAGAGAGCACCCCAATTAGTCATCCAGCTTCATTGGGCAAATTACTTAACCTCTGGGCCTGTTTCCTCGTATAAAAAGTGGAGAGCATAATATCTGAAGTGGCAGGATTGGAGGATTAAATGAGATACATGTAAAGTACCTAACAAAGCACCTGGTAGTATAATCTGTTCCATAAATGGACGCTGCTGCTGCTGCTAATGCTGCTACTACATTATTATTAGAATTTAAAATAAGTAATTGTAATTTACTTTATGGTAAGTATTAAATAATTATTGTCTAAAGCTTCTCTCAACTTGTATATCTTTGAAAATATGAGAGATGAGAGTTTTTTTAATATATAATATTTAATCTTACTATTGATTTTGAGTTAGAATGAAATCACCACAGGAAACTGTGGCTAAATGTATGAATCAGCATCTTATCTTTCAGTTGTTTATTGCTAACTGTAAGGAAACTTTGGTCTCTTCTGTGGCATTACTTCCAGTGAAACAGTATGTAGACAGAATCGGCATTTTCAATCAGTATTAGAACCCCTGGAGGTGCTTATGTTGATCTCCGTCAATATTTACATGGTTGATATTGTAATGATTTGGTGTAATCGTTATTTGAAATAACTACTTGTTTCCAACTGTATTCTTTGTTTGACACTAGACTGACAAAATAATTCTGTGACAAAAGCAGGAAGAGGCAGTTCTATTTAAGAAGAATGCATAATAAAACACTGTCTGGCCAGATATCCCATAGGAGGTCTTTAATAAAAAGAAAACTTACTGACTTCCTGGTAAATTGGCAGCATAAACACAGGCATCTACCTTCCTTCAAGATTTCCATGAAAATGATAAATGGAATATAAAAATAGGGTAAAACCCTTCAAAAGTTCTAGCAGTTATAGGCAAATCCCCAAAACTTTTTAATATAGGGCAGATAGGACACATAGAAAGAAGGAAAGTGCCAAGGGCCAACTTGTTACACCCTCAGCTAAACAACAGCAGCAGTTGTGGGAATAACTGGAGGGCACCCTGGCAGGAGGGCACCCTTTAATGCACTCTGATTTGAAGGGGTAATGAAGACAGTCAAAGACTGACTAGGGGAGAGATGGACTCTTTTTACCTTTTATCTTGGTGAGTCCATGGCATTTGTTGAAATCCTCAGGTTTCATACAAATTCTCTGTCAAGCAGAGGGCCAACTGGGGCTTGGTCCTTTAGGGCACATAGACTCACTTCAGATCTGATACGCACTGGGGCATACAGGAAACTTTAAATGTAAAAGGAGCCTGGCACAGTGGCTTCTGCACCAAATGCTACGTTGCTCTGCACAGCCACGTCTGGTCCTGGCTCGCTTCTCACTCCCCTCAGACTGTTGCATCATCCTTATACTTGTAACGTAAATCCCCATTGGCCAGCCCCCAGCCTGAGCTTTGAGAGGGTACTCCAGCAACACCTGGGTTGAAGTCAGGACAACCCGGGGGTCCACACATCCTTTCAGTAGTCAAAAACCAAGTCTGACTAGAGAGCTCTCTACATTCAAGCTTTTATAAAGAGAAGTACATAATATATATATAAATATATATACACACACACATATTTCACTCAAGCTCTTATAAACAAATATATACATAAACATACAAATATATGATTATGAAGAAGTCCGCAGTATTAAAGCAAGAAAATACAGCTGTCAAGGCTCAGAATAGACTTTGGGATCAAGACGGTAGAGTGATCTCATGCCAAAACCTCCCCATTCTGTTGCTGCTCTCAAATATCACATTTAAAGTTGTGTGTGTGTGTTCAAAAGATAAAAACCAAGAAAGGAATGTCTCTCTGCACCAAAACCAGGGTAAAACTATAATGATAAGTGGGGTCTTAAGCTTCAGAGATTCGCGGGATTGAGATGAGCAGCTGGCATAAAGGTTTCTACACCCACGAGGGCCCAAGTGATACCTGAGCAAAAGGAAGCAAGGAGCAGGAGTCTTCCTGTAGAGAATACACTTTCTTTTCTTAAGTTACTCATATATTAGGCATTAAAAAATAAATCCCTCAAATTTAGGAACCATCTGGGCCTGCCACTAATTAAAATTGCGAGTAAATATTCTCATCCACTACAGGTGGGACTATAACTTGGCACAACATTCTTGGGAATCAATTTTGTGGTATACATCAAAAGCTTTTAAAATATCTATTTGAAAAGTTTTTTTGAAAGTTAAAAAAAATGTTTAATGGTCATATATTTTAACCGATAATCCCACCTGTTGGTATTTTTGCAAAGAAAATAATGAGAGAGATGTGCATAAAAATGTATATATTAGTATTTTCATCACAGCATTTCTTTTAATAGCAGAAATATGGATGTTCAACTGTTACAAATTAATTGAATAATAATGTAATTTTTACTCAACCAATTGAAAATAAAGATGAACTTTTCCCCTATCAAGCAATGACCATCTGATTACATATATATGTCTATGAGTCTCCTACATCAATTCAGGTGT